CTGAATAGTGCGACATTTCAGTTTGTGTAGCAGAATCCCATTTATATATAGCTTTTACAGCAATAAAAAAATGTCGCACTATTCAGATAAGATTTTTTCAATGAAGGTATCTTCATAGTTATGAATTGGCATTGTTTTGTTTTGTCATCAAACATTCATCGTTCCTAGATTGCGGAGCTAAGACTACCAAGCTTATTTTTGGAAATAATATGATGACAAGTATTTGTATTCTATGATTTTGATTGCTGAACCGATATTTTTGCCCAAATTAGATTATTTTCCTCTTCAGTCTTGTAAAGAAATTATTAGAATTATACTTTTTATTTATTTAGAACAGGTAATACAAAACAATTCGTTGAATAGAGTGCTCATCACAAACAGGTTCTGAATGTTCATTTCCTATGGTGTGGTCTATTTGGACCCCATTTGGTAGTCCTAGGATTAAAGAAGACTATGATGCTCGCTAATGAAATAACCTCTTGCTCTCGAAATTAAAAGAAAATTTGGAACTTCAGTCGTCTATTAGTAATTGTACAAGACGTTTGTTTGTTCATGTAAATTACCCTTTTTTTTCTATCAGAAAAAATACCAGCATGACATATATGAACCTTAATATAATCGGCACGAAAAAAATTGTTACATATATCATATTTTATTTTGCTGATTGGTTCAAAATTTAATTTGGATGCTGATCTTGGAGATAACCGACCTTCTCCAATATCTCATTGATTAACTAAAACTTGCATTGGATCTTGTTCCATTTCATTATCTGTGTCGGAACAAATTGCTATATATAAAAGAAAAAAACAAGGGAAATTATTTTAATTTGAATCATTAATTATTTACTTGATTGATCACTTATTAAAGTATTTGTTTTAATATGAGATTTATTACGTTATATATAGAAAAAAATAAAATAAAACGAGTTTTTAATTTTATTCTTGAATAATTTTTTCTTCAGATGTATGATTATTATTCAATGTAATTGCAAAATATCCTTGATGTACTTTTCTCATATGACGTAAATAAGCTGATCGATGTGCAAATTCATGTTGACATCTTGAACAATATTTATTTTTAGGATCTAATTGTTTTCGTCGACGAATTCTTATATCATTATCTTGAAGTTTCTTTCCAATTGTTAGGGTGTGGATGTGGCTGAGGTGTGATGTGGGTGTGGGTGTTCATGTCTTTTCATCTACACCCAGCCATCCACACCCAGCTGCCGCCAATTTACTTTCAAAAGAATAACTGTAACATCTATGACAATTAAAGCGACAGAATCAGTAAACGGCAGATCCAGCATGTCTATCTCAGCACTCAGCCGCATCGCCATGGCCAAACCTAATATGCCGGTAATATCTCCTAGTAATGTAACTGCAATAACTATATTATACACAAAACAAAAGACGTGCCAGTAGTTAATAGGGAAACAGAAAAAACTCTGATTTCGTCTAGAATTACAGGACAAACACATTAGAATTGCAAATATTCCATAGAACAACTGCAAGTCAATATTGTTCATAATTTCAAACTTGTTTGATTACACTCGAACAGCAGTAAGCGGAACGTAAATAACCTCAAAAGGTTTCCTCGTGACATGTGCGTGTCTCATTGTGACGACAGTATTCGATTTCACGATTCAATCGTACGTAAATGATTTGAGACTCGGTTTGTCGTCACACGAACGTATCAAAAATACTAGCTAAAAATCAAAATTAGCATTAGGTCGTAATTAGTTACAGCGAGGCTCAATTATGATCGTGCAACATACTCAGCATTTTGAACGTGTTAAGGGTGTGGGTGTGTGCCAGTGTCACGTTCTATCCGCACCCACACCCTTTAAATATTTTTTTCTAATTGCTTAGACTCTGCCGAATGCATCTATCCTGTTAAAAAAACTTAACTTTTTGGATAACATTGAAACAAGAATTATTACAATGAATAATTCCTAGATCTCTTGTCAATAGTCCTAATACAAATTCATTTCTCAATTACATGTGGAATTCACAAGTAGGATAAGAACAAAAAATAAAAATAAAGATTCTCTTAATCTTTTTTTTAGAGCATCAGACAACAACATTAGCCGATGAATATAATCATTCAAATGACAATGAGCAACAACAACAACAACGTCTGGCTCATGTTCTTGAAATCGTACAAGATTTAAAAGCTTTATCCATATTACTTGCAGTAGAATCGATAACATTTATTCTTGATTTAGTTTGTTTAGCATCAAGACGGGATTATTTAAAATTAGATAAATGATTATTAGATAAATTACGTGAGCATCAAGTAAGAAGAAAGAAAAAAAACATTATTTTATAAAAGTGTTTTATTCTAACTACAATTACCTTCAAAAGATGATACAAATTATAAAAAAATCGATAATATCGAAACAATCAATATACTTTTACACGGGTGATCTTCAATTAGTATTATCATTAATGACAAATCTAGGTTTAATACAAGAAATTCAAACAAGTCAACAGCGAACACATCCCTTTATACCATTACCAACCAACGGACTTTCATTATCAACTGAACTTTGTTACTTGCAAAGTCGTAAATATATATTTTCTTTCAAATTATCGTATATGCACTTGCAATCAACGGATTGTTGTCACAATGTAGAAAGAATGCTATCGGATGGAGTAGTAATTATAGATGAGTCGTGTAAAATGCAAGCTTTTATCATAGCCATATCTTAGTGTAGGATCGCCGAAAATATTTGAAGATCTCACAATAAACTATTCTCGATGAGTTTTCGTGATGTCTCTGAGAAGAACCATAAGCGAAGGACTCGACGTCTTTTCAGTGTATTCGTAGTTCATTAAGGTCTACATGAAGCACACGGTCTCGACTCAAAAGTGGTTAATTGATTAAGAAAATTTTCTCGTCAGCCATGACAACTGTAATTTGTGAAGAATTATCTTTTGGTGTCTTATCATAGATTCTAACTGTATCAGAAGTGTCAGTTCTTTATATTGTCTTTCAAAAGTCGAGAAGATGAAGAAGAAAAGAATAAATAGAAAATAAGAATTGATCAAAGTAAGAGAAATAAAGTTTTTATTTTTATTTTTTCTCTTGTTATTGTTTTTGCTAATGTTCAAATAATAATGATTCATCAATAGTGAGAATGTCTTAATATAATGACAAAATGTAAAGATTCAACAATACCAAGAGCACGAGTAAGAGTCAATAAAATAGTTGTTTTTATAATAGATTAAGAAATTTAATTGATGAATATAAATTTTATCCTCAATGTCCTGGCAGAGAATTAATTTTAACAGCTCAACTACTTGGTGCATTTTTTGAACGTTGTTTATTTCAAAGTCAAGTTTCTTATTGCAGCATTTTGAGTTATACTTGAAGGATTGAGAACCCAGTTTGAACTAGTCTTTGGAATTTTTCTGTGGCAGCGCTTAATCGATGTAAAACAAGGTGAGATATTTTCTCGATTAAATAAGATTATTTTCTAAATGTCATATTTCAAATATAATGATGAATAAAAACCTCTATTTTAAGTCACCATAAAATAGTCTTCTATCAAAAATGTCAACACACTAGTATGACAATTGCCCCGATCGACAAAATTTCAGGTTGATATTTCGTATTCAATTTTTTTTAACAAGTTCCCTATCAGAATTAAAAAATTGAGTAAAATTATATTCAATTTGCAGAGGCAGCAGGGATGGGCGAGTCAAGCCATTTTTCGAGTCGAGTCGAGTCCGAGTCACTTCATAACAGTGTAAAGTCAAGTCAAGTCGAGTCACTAATATTTCCGAGTCGAGTCGAGTCGAGTCAATTTATTTTCGCCATTTTTGCGTTTTCTGTTAATTTCCATAAAAAAACGTTAACAACTAGTTTTTCATTAAACGATATGTACTCCCTAGTTTTTATTCGCGAAAAATAAGAACAGTCACGCATAAAATAAAACGGCACAAGTACTCTAGATTTATCAACAAAATAAGAATAGTCAAATCAACTCTTCTCTTTTATACAGTTCTATATCACAGTAAGAAAATTGTCATTTTTCATAACAAAAATCTAAACTGGAAGCTGTTTGCAAGCAAGAAATATTTATTAACATTTAAATTATTGCCTTATTGCATTTAAAAGATACTCAGATCGACGCTGATCGACAGGATTCTGTTGAAAGTTATGGGAAGTTGTCAGAAGTCGGAAAGTATCGGAATGCAGGTGTTCCGACAGCAATCGCGGTCATCCGACAACTTCCAACGGATTCCTCTCGAATCCGACAAAATTCGATGGTTTTCTCGATAGGACTCGATGGAATCCGTCAGTCGAATCACTCGGCCTGGATATATAAAAATACAAATACTACTTGGTAAAGAACTTGAACGCTGTGATCTCATTAAAAGACCGCTTTGAGAAAACACACATTCAACTAGTGCTGATATAGCAGAAGCACGTATGATTCTATTTAGCAGGACTATTATTAACGACCATATGAATACATAGGTAGGAAAAAACTCTTGAAAAATTATTTTTATGCAATATATTCAATTAGAACGAAAGTTATGAAATAAATGATAATTTAATTTTATAAATTTGTATTTTTTTTGTGAGAGTAAAGGAAAACTTTTTTGAGTGAAAGACTCGAGTCATACAGTCGAGTCAACGTCTCTCAATCTTCGAGTCCGAGTCAAGTCAGAGTCATCAAAAAAATGCGACTGTAGTCGACTCGAGTCCGAGTTTTGACTCGGAATCGTCCATCCCTCCAGGGCATACCTGAAAATGATAGTAATAAAGAGACACACTACATAATTCAAAGATTATTAGTCACTAATCGTTCAAGTTGCGATGTTGTATCATATATATTATATTTCTTTTTTGAATCTAAATACGATCGACGAAACATGTCATCAAAAAAGAAATCTATCGGCCGGGTGTCATGTGATTTATTTATTGTGATCGAATAAATCCATACGTTTCTATTACTCAATAGATATTCAAATATGTAAGTTTCTATTGCTAGAATAATAGAGCTGCAACAATAGTAATAGTGATGCCAGTCCATAGTAGAGAAAAAAGAAAGAAGATTTATTTTAATGTGCAATTTTTAACAGCACCATTCTCTAATATATGTATATTTATCTGTTTTGCTTTTTTTTTCTAATTATACAAATGATAACAATAAGAGAAAAAGAAATAAATGAATCTATCTGACATAATTATATTTATGACGCATTTTGTGTCGTGGAATTATTCATTGCATTTTGATTTGTTGTTGCACCAGTCATTAATTTTCGACTTTCATTAAAATATTGATTTGGATGATTTATTCCAACTCCATAATTTTTAACTTTATGTTGATATTCAAAAAAAACTTGACAAGCTATTTGATAATGATGATGCTTTGCTTTATCAATAATTTCATTCGTTGTTTCTTCATTAATATCATAATTATTTGTTAAACGTTGTTTAAGTGTTTGAATATCCCAATGTCTATATGGACAGCCATGATGTTCATTAACACCTGGTGGAGGATCTTGGATAATTTTCATACAACTATATGGTGTATATGATGTATGTTTTCCTTCTTGACCATATGCATGACGAATATTATAAACATGTTCACGTTCAAATTGTGCTGGATTCATTGAACCATTTGTAACAAATTCATGACGAAAAAATTTCATACATTCATCAAGTGATAAACCAATACCTTTAAGAAAAAGACGATATTGTAAACGACCTAAATGTTTTAAATGATGTTGTTGTGTCATTTGTTCATGTAAATAACGCATACATAATGGAAATGAACGTTTTGATAAACCATTTAACATATCAAATGTTATTGTTTCTGTTTGTTCATTTTCGTTAAATGTATGCATTGTTATATGTGTGCCATGTATGCGTTTTTTTCTTAACATTTTTAATATTAATTCAATACGTGTGTCCATTTGTTGAATGAATTCATACTTTTTTGATGAACATGTCATTTGATACGATATATTCATACGAAAATGTTGTAAAACAAATGATATTATATCATTGTCAGATACATATGCATAACCATGAGCAAGAAAACATGAACGTTTACGTACTAAATCAGGTACATGTTGAAAACGAACACGAAAATATGTTGTTGAATCAAATGATTTAGCAATTGTCGATGGATTTGTTAAACCTTTGATTATTATTGACGATATTAAAAATTCTTTATAGTGCTTTTTTTCTTCATCAGTAACAAGTTCATAAAATTGCTTTATATTACTTGATGAATCATTTAAATAATTTAATTGTTCAGATTTTGTCAAAACTTGAAAACGATAACGAAATAATTCAAGTTCATTAGTGATAAACCAACGACGTTCTTCTTCACTTGGACAAAATGCTAAACGAAGAATATAATGAGATATAATATCATTTTGTAAATCAATTGATGCTGCACCAGTAAATGATGGAAATATGATAAACTAAACAGAAAAAAAAAACAAAAAAACATGATTATGTATTAATTAGAAAATTATGTGTTCGATTGAAGTAATATCAATTGATCGAAATTCAATTTTGATCTGATCACAATGGGATTACTTTTGCAAAAAATGAAACGTTTTCTTTGAAATTTGAAGATAATATATTATTTAGACTAGTTTCAATAAAGAAAGTCTAATAGTAGATCTGAAGTAAATCCTCTTTTTAAACCTAATTTTTGTACTTGTGCGAAGTATACTATGTCTCTAAACGTTTTGTTTCATCGGTGTTCAGAGTTTTCATCATGAGATATGATGACTAATAGAATTGTCTGAAGTATAGAGTTATTGAAGACGACTGATTATCTCGATATGAAGATAGTTTTCAAAAGAAAAGAGAAGAGTTCGATGGATATGAGAAGTAGAGTCCGTCTGTTTGGTATCGGATCCAAGTCTCAAGATTTTCCTTTAACCATATCCAGGTTCGAAAAATTCGACATACTCTAATGGGAAGCAGTGCATTCTCATCGCTAATGTTCTCCATAATGCTTTATTCAGATTTTCTTTTTCGAAGTAGCGGTTTAAAGATGCAGGAGGGCGAACATCTATTTTTTGGTATATTGACACATAGAATGTAGTCCAAGTATCACAAATTCTTCGAGCATCAGCCAAGTGCTCGTAGGGATGTTGCCCCTTGGTTACCACGTTTGATACAACACTAGTTCTCAAGAAGTCCAAAATAGAACTAGGTGATACTCATAAGTCAGTTATGAGTCGATTCAGAACCGTCACGTGTATATACTGTAGTTTATAAAAGTCTTCACT